AGGAAGGAAGGAAGGAAGGAAGGAAGGAAGGAAGGAAGGAAGGAAGGAAGGAAGGAAGGAAGGAAGGAAGGAAGAGGGCCCGGGAAAGGCGGCGTCCAGCGCCTTTTTTCCTCTGCTGGCTTCGTCTCCCCCTCCGTAACCCCACCTGGGCAGGGAGAGGCAGCCGGGCCACGCATGACTGCCACTTCCCGCCCCACGCAGCTTCGTCCGGCGGCTGGTGGGAGGCGGCCCCGCTTCTTCCGCGCCCAGCGAGCGACCGGGCTCCGGGACTGCGCGATTCGGCCGCCGGGAAACCCGAGCACGCTTCTCTCTCCCCGTCCCGCCGGGGCTCTTGGGAGGCCGGCCCTGCGAGCACCGGGGCTCCCTTATCTGCGCTCTCCAGGCGGGCCGGCCGGAGGGGCCGCTGCCGACTCCTAATACGGGCGTGGCCCCGCTGCGCGCTGCCGATAACCGCCCGGGGAAGGAGCGGGCGCAGCGCTTCCCCCCGGGCTGCCGGTTCGGCCCCCGGGGAGCTTTTTCCGCGGAGAAGTCGCTGGAAGCGGGCAAGGCTGGTACGCCGCGCGCCGGGCCGAGAGCTCGAGTGGGCTCTTGGGTGGGCTCTCCAGAGGCCTCCGGAGCTTCCTCGGGGAGTTGCTGCTGTCGCCTTCGGGGTCTCTTACCAGCCCCGCGTCAGTCTTGGCCGATGTCCATGTGAGAGGGGGGAAGGGCATAGCCACATTGGATTTTTGTACAAGCCTCCGGGACTCTGCAGGACGTTGGCAGCAGAGACATTCAATCCACTGCAGCCCATTGACAAAGCCACAGAAATAAGCACTGGGCATCAACCTGAAAAGATGGCCCTGGTTTTAAGGTTCTTGGATTATGAGTCCAAAGGGGGCTTGATCTGCTAAGCCTTGAGCTAAGCCCAGTAGGGCAAGAAGAAAGTGCCCTCCCCCACCCCATTCCAGAAGTGATCTCTCTCCAAGGGCCCCTTCAAGCGAGGGGAGACCTCCTGGGAATCGGGTGCCTGAGAGGTTGGGCTCAGGCAGCCCCTACTTCACCCAACCATAAAACATTGGAAGCCAGGCAAAGCCTGATGGTCTTTGGGTTGCAAATGCAGGGTGAATAGTGAGACAAGGGCCTACCCTCCTGGCAGAATGCCAAGCCCTCCTCTCCTCCAGCCACTGGCACACCCATGGGGTGCTTCCAGGGGACTCTGAGATGACCTAGGTTCCCCTGCGTTGGCTCCCCTGGAGCCCCGGGCAGCCTGCTTGAAAGACTGTTGGGCTTCAGCATTGCCTCCTTGTTTCTTTTCCCTCCAGACACTCCTATGTTCAAGATTAAGGGCCTTCCCTTGCAAAAGGAGGCACCAACACAGGAAGGACACTCAAACATGGTTTGCTTAGACTTTTTGTTTCAGCTTCTGGTAGAGTCTTAACTCCAGGGGCCAAAATTAGTGTCCCCACCCCAGCCTGCCATTTTCCGGCAGAAGCAGCTCTCTTGGCTTGATTTTAAAAAAAACGCCTCCTGCAGCCATGAGGATGTGTGTGGTCTGCCCCGCCTGATTAATCCACAAAACCTAATTTATGTGGATCACTGCCTTCTACAAAAGGGCAAACACATTCCTAGCTTTAAAGTATTGTATTTATGTAATTAAACATATTTCTAAAGCTTCCTGTCCCCAGGTGACCTTGGGTGGCTCATAAAAATAAGACCACCAAAGGAAACAAGCCAATCCACTAAAGATTGTTAACCTGGTTAACTCAATCTCCCCAAGTGGGGGGGGGGGCTTTTCACACTGACTCAGCAAAGAGAATTTTGTAGCTGCAACATCTGCTGGTCCAGGGGCTGCAGTGTGGAAGAAGGGAAGTCTAGATGGCCACCTGTTGCCCCTGGGAAGGACCTCGCTGGGGCTGCCTCTCCAGAGCCTCCCTATGAGGCAGCGGCGGCCGCCCAAGCCCCTTTGGAGGACAAAGGGGGCTCCTCTCCGCAGGCCAGCAGCCCGCCCCCATCTGCGCTGTGGAAAATGTGAGCTCAGGGCTGCCGAGTGCCCAGCCAGAGAATGCGGCCTTATCTGGCGCTCTTAGTGTTCCCTGCTGCACATAGAGCAGGCTTTGATGGGGGTAGGGAGGAGCCGTGTCCCCATCTGTTCTGGCTGGGCTTTGGCTGCACCCCAAAAGTCAGACCCATATTCTTACCCCAACCCCAGCATCCGGGTCTCTTGGTCCTCCTCCTGCCTTTGCTCCTACAAGTGCTCAGCCACAGGCTGCCTCTGAGGGCCTTTCCATTCCCAGCAGTTTTCTTTGCTTCCCATGAGGCTTTGGAGAGGGGGAGGAAGGGGGGGGCTTTCTTCCCAGTTTAATTATTCAGCCTTGGGAAGTACGGAGAGGGGCCCAATCCTGATGCACGAGACGAAATCCAGAAAATGGGCAGGTTATTCAGCCCACAAATGTCTACTTTGGATGCTGAATTCTTATGAGAGGGGACAGGCGAAAGAAGGCTGCTTGCTGTCACAGATCAAAACCACCTGAGTTTCTGCCTAGGGTGAAATTGGGGAGGGTTGGAAGAAGGCTTGGGGGCTACTTTAAAGAGCCAGGACCCCTGGACGCTCCCTCTGGTCCCTCTGGACTGTGATTTGGGGGGGGCTTAGCAAGGCTACCTGCCTGAAATTTGGGCTCCACTGGAGCTTGTCTCCTTCCGGAGTGGCACCTGCTTGTGGATGCAAAACAGATTCCAGAGTGAGAAATGGAGCGAGCGAAGGAGCAGCAGCAGCAATTTTACTGTTTTTTCCTGCTCAACGCCCATCCCAACCCCAGGGCTCTGCTCCAGTCAACAAACCGGCATCAGGCAGGTGCACCCAGGGAGGAGGAGGAGGAGGAGGAGGGCCTTCCACTTGGGGAGAAGCAACCAGATTTGGAGACCAAGAGCTGCTAAGGCAAAGCCAGAAGTCCTGAGCAGGGCAGCTTCCATTCCTCGCTCCCCCTTGGAGTGGCAGGAGGGAAAGTCGGGAGCTTCCTCCTCCTCCTCCTCCTTCTCCTGGGGGCTGCCGCAGTGCCATCCCTTTGCAGGAGCCGCAGCTGCTCCGTTGCCAGGGCTGCCTCTGGAGCCTCCCTGGCAGGCGCCATTTCCCACAAAGGTCCCTTAACCCTTTGGAGCCAAGCAGCCCAGTCCATCAACGGACAGGGCTAGCGGGGCGCCTGCTGGGGGATGGGTGGGGATGGGTGGGGATGGGGCGAGAGCAGAAGGCAGCCCCTCAGAACTGGGCTTCCTGCCCATGTGCCGAGTTGCCAACACAGCCATGGGAAACATCCCAGGGTGACTTAATTTGTCCCTCCCCTTTTCTCCCCCCCCCCAAAAAAAGGAATCTCTGCCCTTCAAGATAGGCAACAGGCTCTCCTGGCTCCCCACCCCACCCCCAGCAGTTCTCTTTCCTTGTTAAAACTGGGAAGCCCCCCCCTCTTGCCCCCCTCCACAGCCATCAATCAGCTCCCTCATACATAAGTCTCCAGGAGGGGTTGCAGGTCTCCCTGCTGGGCCTGGCTGAAGGGTTGCCCTCAGGGGAGGGTCAGTGGGAATTGGGCCCTGAGCAGAGCCCAGGCACCTCTGGGGATGCCTTTCCCCTTGGTGTGCATTCACACAGCCTCCAGAATTCAGGCTCATGCTGTATGCCAGAATATTTCACTGGCTGAAGACGGATGTCCCGGGGGTCCTCCTGGGTCACATTGGGAGAGAATTACCAGCAACTGAGGGAGTGTGTGCAGAGGGGAACCCTGCTGGACCCTTCAAGCGTCCTGGGCAAAACTTCCTTCCATCTTGCTTCCTTCCTTGTTGTGATCTGGCTCTGCAAGGAAAGGATCAAAGGCAGAGAGCTTGTAGCTTGAGATTCCAAGCAAGGGAGTGGAACCAGAGAGGAGGTGGGGGGCTCTGGTTCTGAATCTGGAGTGGGTTTTTCCCCTCCCCACATGGGGGCTTCTTGTGAAGGTGCTGCTCTTCCATCACATGAGTGGGAAAACACTTTCCCCTCCCTGGGATTTCAGCCCCAGCCCTGCCCAGGTTGAAGGTCCTTTCCGGGGGCTGCAATCTGCCAGCATATCTGTAAACACGCACGCACAGACACACACACACACACACACACACAGAGAGCCCTCTGCTAACCGCCTGTCTCCTCTCTTCCCTCTCAGGACTTGCTGAGTGAGCCAGCCGAGGCTGCCTACAGTGGAGGCTGGATGGAAAAGTTGCAGAAGGTAACTTCTGGGGTGGGGGCTTGTTTGGAAAGCAGAGACCAGGATTCCTTCCTGAAGGTCCTTTCGGGCTCTCTGAGCTTGGTGGTTTTTTTTGCAAATGTTTCATGTCAAAGGAGGCAACATCCTTCTTGCTGTTAGGGGCGCTGGTGAGCAAACCCCCCTCCCTTTTCCCACTGATGGTGGGTCCTTGGTGGGTCATGAGACGTCTGAGAGGAAAGCGGCTCACAGAGCTCCAAGGAGCCTTGATTTCAACCCTCAGCTGCAGACCTTCCCCTTGAAGGCTGCTCCTGCCTGCACATAAGTTACTCCTAGCAAAGGGGCCCAACAGGAAGCAGCAGCAAGCAGCTGTTGCAAGATTGCCTTCTTCCCCACACCTCAGACCCCAAAGGAAAGAAAGGGAGGCTGGAGGTCAATCAGTGGCTGGCAGCAGCAGAAGAAGGAGGGGTCCCTGCAAAAAAGACCCTGTTGTGGCTGCTGTGGGGACTCCCGGCCACCGTTGCCAAAGAGCCCCCAAGGGGGGAAGCAGGAGGGCACTGGGTCCTTCCTGTTGTTGGGGGAGCACAGAGAAGGGGAAGGGGAGCCACGTGGCTGCTTCCCCCGCCCCAACAGCTCTCTCCAGGTGCCCCTGGCCCCCCTCGGTCATTCCAGATGAGCAGAAGAGGCACCTTTCCCGTTTATAAAACAAAAGTCGGAGCAGCAGAGCCTGCGTGGCTGCATCTTAACGTTTCTCCTGCAAAGTCCTGCCCCGGCCTCAGCATTCTCACGGCAGGGAGGTTCTCTGGAGGCCCAGTGGTTGGGAGGCCATATTGCCTGCTAACTCTGCCAACTGACAGGAGTTCAATTCTGACACACTCCAGGGTCATTCAGCCTCCCGTCCCCCTGAGGTCGGTCAAAGGAGGAGCCGGATTGTTGGGGGCAACAAGTGGCCATGGCAAGCTGACCGCTCTGAGGCCTGGGAGCGCTTGGAAAGGCTGCCTGCCCCACGAAGAGCCAAAGAAGCCAGAGGCCTCTTTCAGGCTCCCTGATTAGCCACCTGTTTTTCCCTTGCAGCCGCTGAAGTCCCCGAGGAGCATCGTCCTCTCGGCTCGGGGATCAGGGGCCCCCGGATCTACCTCCAGCATCACGGTGAGAGCCTGCGGACCCCTGGCCTCCACTTGCCCGGCTCTCAGCAAATCACGGCTGGCTGAAAAGCAGGAGGAGGAGAGCAGAGGGCCAAAGGAAGGTGCCCCGTGGGGGAGCAGAGAAAATGAGGGAGGGGAGCTGCTCTTGGAGGCAAAAGTTCCTTGGCCCTGGGCCAGGAAGAGGAGGGGGCAATCCAGGCTGGTGCAGAAGAGGGGGGGTGACCCCGTCTGCCTCTCACCCCAAGGACAGGAGCTCTGAGGGAAGGGCAGGAGAGCTTGGGGGAGCCAGCAGGGACCTTTGGAGAAAGGAAACCAGAGCCCCCATATTTGAGGTGGGGCTCTTCAGCACTAGGATCGGGGTGTGTGGAGTTGACGCCTAGGAGCCCAGTGAGGCTGAGGTGCTTCAGCATCTCACAGACACAGCTGCCTCTCAAGGAGGAAATGTGGGAGTCGTTGTGAAGGGTGGGGCCCCCTTGAGAGAGGGCAAGCACAACCCCCCTTGCAGGGCTGGCTTTGTGCCCGCGGTAGGTCTCGACCTCAGCTTTCCCTGCTCCACCTTAAGCACTTGACCAAACCGGCTCTCGTTGTATCACAGCCTCATATGGGTACAAAACTGGGCTGGGTGGAGCCCATATTAGGGAGGTGCTGCACAACCTTGGCACTGGCTTGTGCTCCCTGTCCCAAGAGAAGGTGGGCAGCTCCCCTGGGAGAGGAGCCCAGTCTAGGCTTGGAAGCCCAGGGGGGCCATGTGGAGGCATCTGGCTCTTCCCCCTCTCTGCCCCCTTCATCGATCAAAGACCCCCCTCCTCTCCTCTCACCAGGCCAAGATGGACGATGAGGTCCTGGGCTATAAGGACTTGGCAGCCATCCCCAGGGACAAGGCCATCCTGGACATTGAGCGCCCTGACCTGATGATCTACGAGCCCCACTTCACCTACTCCCTCCTTGACCATGTGGAACGGCCAGGCAGCCGAGAGGTGAGACCGGCACGGCAAAGGGAAGCCTCCTTCAAGGCAGACGTCGGATGCCCTCAGGGATGCCCCCCTCGAAGGTTTTGGGGCTGAGGTCCTCGCTCACCAGGCCCCCGTCAGATGCAGCTGTCCATCCTATTGGGGGAGTGGAGGACGGCCGGGCTATCGCACCGCTTCCTAGCTTACAAGGGCATTTCCCGCAATGGTCAGAGCAGTGCAATCCTGAGGGCTGTTAGGCGGAGTAACAGTAGGTCGAGTAACATCCCCCTCTCCCGGCTGTTCTTCTTGCAGCCTTCACTCTCGCCCACGTCTCTCTCTCCTCCCCCATCGCCAGAAGTAAGTGCTCCTCCGATGGGGGGTTGAACGGGCAGGGAATCGATGGCCCTTTTGGAGGTGGGGGCTGAGACTAGATCTGCTCAGGGGGTGGACTGGCTGTCCCTTGGCCAGGAAGCCGCAAAGGAAGGAGCCGCCCTCGGGAGGAGGGGCTAAGAAGCCCTGGGGTGAGGGCCGAGGAGGCAGTGGGGCCTTCTCCTTGGTGCCCCTCCATCCATGCGCTCTCTGCTTGCAGGTCAGCCACGAGTGGGCAGAGGCCAAATCCCCAGGGAGCGTTGGCAAGGCCTCTGGGCGCCGGGCCGGCAGCAGAAACCACTCTGGACTCCTTCAGCACTTCCATCATCCTGGTATGGGCTTCCTCGAGGCCAGTGAGAACCCCCTTCTTCCCGACTGCCAGGGCATCTTTCTGAGCCTTTCCTCCCCTGGAGCTGCAGAGGGGCTCAGGGATTCCTTTCCATAAACATTGGTGCACAAGGGCCCCGCTGAGCCCAAGCCCAGCCTTTGGGTTCTCCACCTCTGGGGTTTGCAGGGCCCTATCATGCATCGGAGGCTGCTGGTTGTATTCCAGCCTCGGGTCAACAGGATGCAGTTCCCCCCCAAAGAAAGTGGGGTTACTCTGCAAAGGGAGGGAGGGAGGGGGAGGCCCAGGGAAGAGGGAAGGGGTGGACCTGGGCATCCCTTTGCATGGAGGTGCTTATCCATTTCTCTTCCTTCCCCAGACACCAACACGGCAGAGATGAACATCTACAAGAAGCCGCCCATCTACAAGCAGAGGGGTAGGAGCTGCTCCTGCAACGGGATGGGGGTGGGGGCAGGGTAGCATTATCTGGGACTCATGACCCTTGATCTCTTCCAGAGGCTGCGCTGGCTCCGACTCCCGAGACCAAAAGGCTGATTGAGGGCCTGATCATTGAATCCTCCAAATTCCCCGCTGCTCAGCCGCCCGATCCCAGCCAGCCTGCCAAGATTGAGACGGACTACTGGCCCTGCCCGCCCTCCCTGGCGGTTGTCGGTAGGTGCCCTTTCCCAGGCAGTCCTGACTGCAGATCTGCTGCTCTGAGCAACCGGCAGCAGCTCGGGCTCCAGGGAAGGTTTCCCTCCACTCTCTTCCCTCGGGGCCATTCCCGTAGGAGAGAGTCACTTGTCAGTGTTGGTGCATAGGAAAAGAGGAAGCTACACTGTTAGCTTTCTTTGGCTGAGGCAGAGGAAGAGCAGGGCGATCCAAGAGGCGGAGGAGCAGAGGAGGCTGTCTGGTGGGGGCCCAGGTCCTCTGGGGACCCAGAGCTTCCTTCTCTCAGGGAGCCCCTCCCCTGGGTTCAGGGACCACTCTGCTTCTCCTGCACAGGACAGGAGGTCCGATCCTCTCTGCCCAAGCGGGAGGATCCATGCCTTCCCCACGGCTGAATCTGATGGGCCGCCTCAAACCCTGAAGGGGTGCTGGAGCCCCCCAGGGCTGCTCAAGGAAGCACAAAGGCTCCAGTTCCAGACCCCTTTGAAATAAAAGAGCCGAGGTGGCGCAGTAGTTAAATGCAGCACTGCAGGCTACTGCTAGATCAGCCGTTCAGCGGTTCAAATCTCACCAGCTCAGGGTTGACTCAGCCTTCCATCCTTCCGAGGTGGGTAAAATGAGGACCCAGATTGTTGGGGGCAATAT